AATAATAATAATTAACATGCTACATAGTCTAAATTACATTGTAAACCAACCAAACATGATAATAGTTTTGATATGCTAAAATGCCTTTTATGTACATTACATTTAGCTGTTAGACAAATAATAATATAATCTAAAAAAACGATTACAACAATTTGAAATTCAAAAGGTCAAAATATTTAGGTATCCACATATCCACAGATAGCATTTGGTGGTGGCAAAGTGCTGTAGATTCTCTTGTTGTGGCCTATTTGTCCACACTTCTTGCACTTCACATTCAAAATCACCCTGCTTGCATCCCCTACTACATTGCATGAAGATATCTCAGCATTACTTGATGAGCCCATGCCTTCACGTTCATTAGCTTCCTTTCGTCTAGCCTTCTTTGGTCTCCCAACCTTAATGTGCCCATCTTGGAACTTTCATTGCTTGAGTAATCTGCATACTCTCTCCTTGGAAGTCCACTATCTTGTTTGATATCTTTTGAATTCTAGTCCCAATTTCTCCATTCCATTTTTTCACAAGCTTCTCCTTGGATCATATTCATTTTCATCAAACACACCCTATTTTCTTCTAGCATTGTCAATGTTGGCTGCTTTCTTGCATTAAGTAATGTACTATTGAAAGATTCACATAGATTGTTCAACAGCATGTCTAGTCTAGTCCCTTCGTGGAAATGTGATTTGGGCGATTGAGAAGTTAGTTTTAAATCAAGCCACCCATAGATATGCTGTTGGATCCAAATCCAACATCCTTTGGATGTGTTCTAGTCATTTTGAAATTGTTGTTGCTCTTGCATCATCTACAAGGTTTTTACAGCTAGGCCCCTTATGAGCAGCACTAAAATTATTGTACAAGTGACGAATGCACGTTTTATGCTCTACATGTTCAAAGAGCGATCGAATTGCATTTTACCAGCTATTTGTGCTCAGTAATAACATCTTTCGAAACCTTCTTTGACTCAAATGTTTGCCCTGCCAATAGAAAAAAAAGTGTCGTAGAAAACTAAAGCCAATAACAATAGTTTTCATTACTTGCCAACTTAGATTATTGGATCCTCCAAATCTGTCCTAGGATTGATTCTTCTTCATCACTGTCCAAACTCCTTAGTTCATCTGTCACGGTAATATGTGTCGCTCATTTATAAGATTAGTTCCAGCATTGTCAATACGATCTTCATCTGTTCCATAGTCAGAAGCAACATGTACATTCTCGTGTTCTACTTGTTACATCTCATATTTTTAGTCAAAAGTCAATGGTTGAATTGTCACGGTCAAGGTCAATATGGACTTAATTGGAATAATTTATTTTTCTTGGGACTTATTTTATATTCAAGATAATA